AAAACGTCCTTGCCCTTGTCCTTGTCCTACACTGACATTCCCTGAGCCGAGGAGTCTGATGAGCTCGACCCTCTGTGTCTCACACCCGGCCTGTAAGTGAATAGATCCCTAGTAGGAGAACAGTAAGGTGCCACAGAGCCGTGAACGAGAGCTGCCACGCGTGGGACTTGGAGCATCTGCCGTCGTGGGTGCTGTGAAGTACAGCTCAGTGCGGGCCACGAAGGGACGTGCGGGCCGGGCACGGCTTCACAGTCTCACACGGAGCGTCACAGACACGGAGAGAGAAAGGAAATCGGAGCAGTAGACGCGAGGATGGTCAGATCCGCCATCTTAGTTAAATTATTTAAAACAGTCCTCGTCTTCAAACATTAGCAGTTCTCCTGAATAGAGTCTTTTTACCCGTCAATCATTTTCATGAAGCATGACTTATCTTTTTAACGCTGTTCTGGAAAAATTGTCAATCTGTTGATTTGATGGAGTTTCGGTTCCTGGTAAAATTAGGCAAATACAAATTCTGATCTAGTCTGAATTCCACATCAGGACACATGAGAGAGGCTCACAGTCCATCTGCCTCGCACCCCAAGGGGGTCCCCGGCCACGGCCACCATCCTTCCGCCACAGCCCAGAGTCGCTGTGACGCGTGAGGGCCTTCTGCCGGAGCAGGTGTGGCGGGACCGCTCTTTATTCCCTTCGTGGTTTACATCGTGGTGCCCTGGAAGGCCGCAGCTGCCAAACACACAGCTGATTCCAGAGCGGGGTCCACACGGGGCCTGCAGGTCTCTCCGGATGGGGCCTTGGCCAGCAGTGTCCACAGCCGCGCTCCTACGGTTTCCTTGGCCAGCCTGAGGTGTGGAAGGGCAGGTGTCCAGACCAGACGGGGAGGACCCCAGCGGGCCTGCAGGGGACTGCTCCCGGGCCTCACGGCTTTCAGCCTTTCTCGGGTTAAATGGTGCTACTGGGTGATAGCTCACAAAGGCTGGGTTAATCGGCAAAATCTTGCGTCTCCCTATCGTTTAGGCTTTATTATGGAGAATTTAAACACGGAAGAGGCAAAGGAAGGCAGAGTACTGTGACAGAGCTAAGTGGCTCATCCCCCATGGGCCTGGTCTTCCCCCGACACTCTCTGCGACAGGCACACCAGCACCCCCGCCCCTCCACACCAGCCTTCACACCTCCCTTCACCCCCTCACAGCCGCACCCGTATCTGCCACCACACCCATCTGCCCCCGCCTACCCCCATGGATACCCACAACCCCCTGCACAACCTCCGTACCCACAACTCTTCCCACACTCCCTCCACACCCACACCCTGCATAACCACACCCACCCTTATGCCCTCCGTACCTCCACCCACACCTCCCTGCACAGCTACAGCCCCACCCCATCTGCATGCTCCTCGCACACCTCCACACCCCCACAAATTCCAGGGGTCCTACCCTTTCATCGACAAGCACTGTGGCATGTATTACAATATCAGGATCGTACCTAAAACAGCAAATAGTTCTCGAATCCCCCTAAATGTCCAGTGTACTTTTAAGTGATTTTTTTACATCTTCAGATGGTTGAAAAAAATCGAAAGCGCAACAGTTCATGACACACAGAGGTCACGTGAGGTTCACGTTTCCACATCTGTAAACCAAGTTTTGTTGGCACAGACACTTGGTCATTACGTGCTGCAGCTTCTGTGCCCCGGCCGCAGAGCAGAGCCGTTGTCACCGGGACACGGTGGCCGCAAAGCCCAGAGCATTTACTATCTGTCCCTCAACAGGAAACAACCACCAACCCCAGCCCCGTTCTGCAACCTCCGGCGCCCCAGCCTGGAAGGAACTCTGCGGCAGCCCCTCCTGAGGCTGTGCCACCTCGCCCAAGACCCACCTCCCCAGCCGCTAAGGCAAGAGGGAGCCACGGAGCTGGGATGAGGGTGTGGGCGGTGGTGCTGGCCGTGGGCTCTGTGGCCACCAGAGGGAGCAGCTGGGCAGTTGGTGGCTGGAGAGCGTGGAGTTTGTAATCCGGACTCAGGCTCACCCTTCTCAGGTGTGTGCTGAGTCCCAAGGTGGCCCAGAGCAATTCTGGCTGCCAGTGGCAATGGTCAGAACTTCTTCAATCTGTAAAAGAATATTACAGCAGTGTGTATATCTCCAAAACTTTTGAATATCTCCTCGGCCTGAATATCCACGGAATTAATGACAGATTCTAGAACAACAAATACCTTCAGGATCTGTGGGGTTTGCCCCCTCAGCTGACCCAACCCCCTGTCCTATAGAACGTGAAGAAACTCGGATCATCCTGAAAAGCCCTTTAAAGGACTTCAGGGTGGAGGAGCATCTGGGTGGCTCAGTGGGTTAAAGCCTCTGCCTTCGGCTCGGGTCATGGTCCCAGGGTCCTGGGATCGAGCCCCTCATCGGGCTCTCTGCTCAGCAGGGAGCCTGCTTCTCCTCCTTCTGACCCTCCCTGTGCTCGTGTTCTCGCTCTCTCTGTCTCTCTCTAAAATAGATAAATAAAATTTAAAAAAAAAAAAGACTTCAAGGTAGGGACTTAGTGTCTGTAGGCTAACCCAGGCAATGAAGCCTGGCCTTATTGTTCCCAGATGAAGCAGGCATTCCACCAAGGAGCTCTTGTATGTCCCCCACCCACCCTACAGCAAGACTCAGTTCCCTTCACCCATGACTTCTAATATCACTATGAAAATTCTTCTTCTAGAGCCTGCCATGTTAATCCGCAGGAACTGGTCAGTAAGGACGAGAAAGCAGCCTGGGCGTCTTGTGCGGTGAAAGATTGAACACAGGCAAGAGGGCGTTGTCAGTTGTTGGAAAGGAGAGGTGAGAGCGTGGGCTGAGAGCAGCCAAAGTGACTCCCAGACACCGTAACTTCTACCAGGCTTTCCAGTAATCAGCCATGGCGGTGACGACACAGACCTCCTGCCTTTGAAGGAAGAGTTTTATTACATACAAACCCCAGGAGAAGGGGCCACGTGGAAGAGTGCAAACTTCAGACTGGAGGCAAAGCGAGGAGAAGCAGGGTGTGAGCCTCTACTGCGGGTTTCCATAGGAAAGTCAAGGCAGGAGGGTCGGCAGGAGGGTCAGCAACTCGGGGTAGGGCAGTCTGAATAATTTCAGTGGGCTGTGAGCAAGCAGGAAGGTGTCCCGTTGGTGCCTGGCCCTGGGTCATTGGAGGATGGGGAGATCTTAGTTTGGTGTTTGAGTTAGAGGAGGGAGGTGGTTGGGGGCATGGGATGTGGTTTGGCTGGTTTACCTATGAAAGGTGTGCTCCTAGGGGAGTCATGTGCTAGTTAGGAATCAGCCAGCCCTAGGGGGACAGTCTCTCCTGGCCAGCTAGGTCCTCAAGACATCAAAATACCATAAAGTATAGAAAACAAAAAACATGATTACTACATAGGGCATTTCACACCTGGGTCAGAGTGGCGACTGGGAGAGGAAAGGACCATTCATCTATAAAATTCAAGACCACACCACAGTGGTTTAGCCCAGAGAGTAGGACGCTGGGTCAGCAAGTTTCTGCTACCGCTGCTAACCGCGGCCACTGTCTCTGAACACACAGAGGTGTGGAGATGGAAAGTAGAGACGGGTGCCAAAAACCTTATGGACCACGACTCGAGCGAGGAAACCCATAGTAGGAAAAAGTTCACACACTTTCTGCCTTCCAAAGATCACATGAAAGGACCTCCTCTCCCCGCAAGACAGAAAAGCAGAGCCCACTTACCTCGTGCCTGACCCAGATAGAGGCATGGACAGTGCATACGGCACAGACATTGGACGTTAGGCAGAACAGGTTAGCCCGTGTCTGAGAGAGGGAACACACGCAGGCTGAGTCAGCCACCCCAGCCCAGGGCTTGAGGACTCTCTGAGCACAGCCAGGGGTGGGATGAGTAGGGGGCCAGGCAGTGTCCCTGGGCTGACAATATGCCGGGAGCTCATAGGCCCCCTGGAGGATACACTTACTGGGCAGAGTGGCAAGCAGGAGACAATGTGCAGCAGGCCCTGGGGACTCAGTCAGAGCCCTCAGACCTGTTACCCCAGGAAACATGGTTAGATGAAAGGTGAAAAGCCAGGGTCACAATTCATGCTGACCAAGGTCCACCCTTCCTCCTGCCGAACACTCAAAGCCAGCCTTGAACGGATCACAGAGTTTCCCACGTAGCCCAGGAAGCCCCCATTTAGGGCTCTCGTGTCACTCTTGTTTGGGGGTGATGACCAAGAGTAAAGACTGTGCACCATCTCTGGCAAGTACGACACCGGAGTCATGGACCACCTGCTGTCTTCGTGTTGCTTCCGCCTTTCCCAGGTTAATTTTAATTATTTTCATATTTCATCATACTAGGATGCCCTCGACCATATGTATGACAATACTTTAGGCTCCCTTTAGGGAAGGAAAATCTGACAAATGCACAAAAATGCAATATTGATCATTTCATGTTTTAGCTTTTAAGGGTTCTCTTAAACCACACTTATGTGTTAATCACCATCCTTGTGAATAAAGGAAAGATAAATTTAAGAGAAATAAGTCGGTTATGGATTCTGAAAACTTCGTAAAGCTGCCGTGGTCCCTCCAGCTGTCACAGACCTCATCACTTCCGTCGGTGGTGGTCCCCTGCTCTCGTCTGTGCTGCAGAGACGGCAGGTGCCTCCCCAAATCACTTGACATGGAGCGGGCACGTTATCACCAGCAAAACGCACCTGTCCCACGGGGGAATATGTACGGAGAAAGGCTCTGCTGGCTGTGTCCTTCTTCCGAGAAGTCACTGTAAGGTGCGAAGAAGGGAGAGGTCTCCTTCCCAGATCCTGCCCCCAATGCTGTCCTGATGGATAAAACGGTGGCGTGTCACGCAGAAGCCTGACCGTGAGCAGCAGCGGGGAGCAGGAAGGAACGCGGGTCCCTGTTCCCTTCACAGATCCACTTGTGAACGCCTTCCTCTCGGTGTCCATCCAGTGAGAGGAATAAACTTGTAGTTCATTTCAGCCGCGTTAGTCTGTTATTTGGGCTGTCCCTGCCTCAAGCAACTAGAGCGAGTCCTAGTCGATGTTTGTTCACAGGTTTTCCTCCTTGGGAAATACGGGCTCTCCTACATCCTTACTTGAAGGACCACAGCCTCGCAGGCACGGTCTCACATTCTTGTGCCTTTATTGCCCCAAAATACAGCCTCAAGAGGAGAATGTCTGAGTTGAGAGGTCTGTCGGTTTTTCATGTGAAGAGAGTCTGTCAAGTCGCTTTCCCCAAGTCTGTTTGGAAAAATCCTGTATTTTTCTCCCTTCTTGTTGCCCACCTGGTAAGAACGGTGTCTCCTGTTGCTGTAATTTGCATTTCCATGATTACTAAGGACGATAATTATCTTTTCTTGTTTCTTAGCCAACTTGGATTTGTTCTTTTGAGTTTTCTGTTCAGTCTTTGCCGTTGTTCTCTGAGTGCTGAGCTTGTTCTTATAAATGACAAAGAGACGTTTCTCATTATTAATACTAGCTCGAACTATCTGTAATGTTCCCCAATCTAGGGTCGATGATGTTATCTATTGCCATACAAAATTTAAATTTTTTAACATGTATTATTTTATTTTATAGTTTCCGAGTTCCTATTTTGGTAAAAAAAAAAAAAATCTCCAAAACTTAATATATCTGGAATTTATTAATGCTGTCAGGTAGATTTCAAATATTTTTTTTCCTGGATGGAGAGCCAGCCCCTCATTGGTTATTCTTCTGCAGTAATATGAAATCACTCTATCCCCTACCTTCAGTTATATTACCACACTACTTTCTTCTTAGCTTTTAATTTATTTTATTTCCATTGCCATATGTCTAGCACATAACACTGTGTACATTTAAGGTATACAACATGTGAATCTGATACATTTCTACATTGTAACATGATTGCCGTCAGAGCAGTAATTACCACCTCTCTCTCATCACATAATGATTGTTTTCTAAGGGTTGGGATCATTAAAATCTGGTCTCTCAGCAAGTTGGGTGGCTCTGTATTCCCTCTCCTGTACATTAGAATCTCTAGGACTTATCTGCTACTCTCTGCAAGTTTGTCCAGTCAATGTCTGTCTTGTCCCTCCCTGTGCCATCCCCACTGCCCTCTACCATAGAATTTTGGGGACAGTGCCTCTAGGTTTTAATATTCAGTATGGCAAATCCCATACCCACACCATTATTTTTTTTCCACATTTTTGGCCATTTTAATACTTATAATTTCATTTAATTTACACATCTTAGGGGTTGATATTTGATTATATTAACTATTCTAATTTTATTTTTTATAAACATATATATATATATACATATTTTTCCCCCAGGGGTACAGGTCTGTGAATCTCCAGGTTTACACACTTCACAGCACTCACCATAGCACATACCCTACCCAATGTCCATAACCCCACCCCCCCTCTCCCAACCCCCCTCCCCCCAGCAACCCTCAGTTTGTTTTGTGAGATTAAGAGTCACTTATGGTTTGTCTCCCTCCCAATCCCAACTTGTTTCATTTACTCTTCTCCTACCCCATTAACCCCCCATGTTGCATCTCCTCTCCCTCATATCAGGGAGATCATATGATAGTTGTATTTCTCCGCTTGACTTATTTCGCTAAGCATGATACCCTCTAGTTCCATCCACGTCCTCACAAATGGCAAGATTTCATTTCTTTTGATGGCTGCATAGTATTCCATTGTGTATATATACCACCTCTTCTTTATCCATTCGTCTGTTGATGGACATCTAGGTTCTTTCCATAGTTTGGCTATTGTAGACATTGCTGCTATAAACATTCGGGTGCACGTGCCCCTTCGGATCACTACGTTTGTATCTTTAGGGTAAATACCCAGCAGTGCAATTGCTGGGTCATAGGGTAGTTCTATTTTCAACTTTTTGAGGAACCTCCATGCTGTTTTCCAGAGTGGTTGCACCAGCTTGCATTCCCACCAACAGTGTAGGAGGGTTCCCCTTTCTCCGCATCCTCGCCAGCATCTGTCATTTCCGGACTTGTTAATTTTAGCCATTCTGACTGTTGTGAGGTGGTATCTCATTGTGGTTTTGATTTGTATTTCCCTGATGCCGAGTGATATGGAGCACTTTTTCATGTGTCTGTTGGCCATCTGGATGTCTTCTTTGCAGAAATGTCTGTTCATGTCTTCTGCCCACTTCTTGATTGGATTATTTGTTCTTTGGGTGTTGAGTTTGCTAAGTTCTTTATAGATTCTGGACACTAGCCCTTTATCTGATATGTCATTTGCAAATATCTTCTCCCATTCTGTCAGTTGTCTTTTGGTTTTGTGAACTGTTTCCTTTGCTGTGCAAAAGCTTTTGATCTTGATAAAATCCCAATAGTTCATTTTTGCCCTTGCTTCCCTTGCCTTTGGCGATGTTCCTAGGAAGATGTTGCTGCGGCTGAGGTCAAAGAGGTTGCTGCCTGTGTTCTCCTCAAGGATGTTGATGGATTCCTTTCTCACATTGAGGTCCTTCATCCATTTTGAGTCTATTTTCATGTGTGGTGTAAGGAAATGATCCAATTTCATTTTTCTGCATGTGGCTGTCCAATTTTGCCAACACCATTTATTGAAGAGGCTGTCTTTTTTCCATTGGACATTCTTTCCTGCTTTGTCGAAGATTAGTTGACCATAGAGTTGAGGGTCTATTTCTGGGCTCTCTATTCTGTTCCATTGATCTATGTGTCTGTTTTTGTGCCAGTACCATGCTGTCTTGATGATGACAGCTTTGAAATAGAGCTTGAAGTCTGGAATTGTGATGCCACCAACTTTGGCTTTCTTTTTCAATATTCCTTTGGCTATTCGTGGTCTTTTCTGGTTCCATATAAATTTTAGGATTATTTGTTCCATTTCTTTGAAAAAAATGGATGGTACTTTGATAGGAATTGCATTAAATGTGTAGATTGCTTTAGGTAGCATAGACATTTTCACAATATTTATTCTTCCAATCCAGGAGCATGGAACATTTTTCCATTTCTTTGTGTCTTCCTCAATTTCTTTCACGAGTACTTTATAGTTTTCTGTGTATAGATTCTTAGTCTCTTTGGTTAGGTTTATTCCTAGGTATCTTATAGTTTTGGGTGCAATTGTAAATGGGATGGACTCCTTAATTTCTCTTTCTTCTGTCTTGTTGTTGGTGTATAGAAATGCAACTGATTTCTGTGCATTGATTTTATATCCTGACACTTTACTGAATTCCTGTACAAGTTCTAGCAGTTTTGGAGTGGAGTCTTTTGGCTTTTCCACATATAGTATCATATCATCTGCGAAGAGTGATAGTTTGACTTCTTCTTTGCCGATTTGGATGCCTTTAATTTCCTTTTGTCATCTGATTGCTGAGGCTAGGACTTCTAGTACTATGTTGAATAGCAGTGGTGATAACGGACATCCCTGCCATGTTCCTGACCTTAGCGGAAAAGCTTTCAGTTTTTCTCCATTGAGAATGATATTTGCGATGGGTTTTTCATAGATGGCTTTGATAATATTGAGGTATGTGCCCTCTATCCCTACACTTTGAAGAGTTTTGATCAGGAAGGGATGCTGTACTTTGTCAAATGCTTTTTCAGCATCTATGGAGAGTATCATATGGTTCTTGTTCTTTCTTTTATTAATGTGTTGTATCACATTGATTGATTTGCGGATGTTGAACCAACCTTGCAGCCCTGGAATAAATCCCACTTGGTTGTGGTGAATAATCCTTTTAGTGTACTGTTGAATCCTATTGGCTAGTATTTTGGTGAGAATTTTTGCATCTGTGTTCATCAAGAATATTGGTCTATAGTTCTCTTTTTTGATGGGATCCTTGTCTGGTTTGGGGATCAAGGTGATGCTGGCCTCATAGAATGAGTTTGGAAATTTTCCTTCCATTTCTATTTTTTGGAACAGTTTCAGGAGAATAAGAGTAAATTCTTCTTTAAATATTTGGTAGAATTCCCCTGGGAAGCCATCTGGCCCTGGGCTTTTGTTTGTTTGGAGATTTTTGATGACTGTTTCAATCTCCTTACTGGTTATGGGTCTGTTCAGGCTTTCTATTTCTTCCTGGTTCAGTTGTGGTAGTTTATATGTCTCTAGGAATGCATCCATTTCTTCCAGATTGTCAGATTTGTTGGCATAGAGTTGCTCATAATATGTTCTTATAATTGTCTGTATTTCTTTGGTGTTAGTTGTGATATCTCCTCTTTCATTCATGATTTTATTTATTTGGGTCCTTTCTCTTTTCTTTTTGATAAGTCTGGCCAGGGGCTTATCAATCTTATTAATTCTTTCAAAGAACCAGCTCCTAGTTTCGTTGATTTGTTCTATTGTATTTTTGGTTTCTATTTCATTGATTTCTGCTCTGATCTTTATGATTTCTCTTCTCCTGCTGGGTTTAGGGTTTCTTTCTTGTTCTTTCTCCAGCTCCTTTAGGTGTAGGGTTAGGTTGTGTACTTGAGACCTTTCTTGTTTCTTGAGAAAGGCTTGTACCGCTATATATTTTCCTCTCAGGACTGCCTTTGTTGTGTCCCACAGATTTTGAACAGTTGTGTTTTCATTATCATTTGTTTCCATGAATTTTTTCAATTCTTCATTAATTTCCTGGTTGACCCATTCATTCTTTAGAAGGATGCTGTTTAGTCGCCATGTATTTGGGTTCTTTCCAAATTTCCTCTTGCGATTGAGTTCTAGCTTCAGAGCATTGTGGTCTGAAAATATGCAGGGAATGATCCCAATCTTTTGATACCGGTTGAGACCTGATTTAGAACCAAGGATGTGATCTATTCTGGAGAATGTTCCATGTGCACTAGAGAAGAATGTGTATTCTGTTGCTTTGGGATGAAATGTTCTGAATATATCTGTGATGTCCATCTGGTCCAGTGTGTCATTTAAGGTCTTTATTTCCTTGTTGATCTTTTGCTTGGATGATCTGTCCATTTCAGTGAGGGGAGTGTTAAAGTCCCCTACTATTATTGTATTATTGTTGATGTGTTTCTTTGATTTTATTATTAATTGGTTTATATCGTTGGCTGCTCCCACGTTAGGGGCATAGATATTTACAATTGTTAGATCTTCTTGTTGGACAGATCCTTTGAGTATGATATAGTGTCCTTCTTCATCTCTTATTATAGTCTTTGGTTTAAAATCTAATTGATCTGATATAAGGATTGCCACTCCTGCTTTCTTCTGATGTCCATTAGCATGGTAAATTCTTTTCCACCCCCTCACTTTAAATCTGAAGGTGTCTTCGGGTTTAAAATGAGTTTCTTGTAGGCAACATATAGATGGGTTTTGTTTTTTTATCCATTCTGATACCCTGTGTCTTTTGATTGGGGCATTTAGCCCATTAACATTCAGGGTAACTATTGAGAGATAGGAATTTAGTGCCATTGTATTGCCTGTAAGGTGACTGTTATTGTATATTGTTTCTGTTCCTTTCTGATCTACTACTTTTAGGCTCTCTCTTTGCTTAGAGGACCCCTTTCAATATTTCCTGTAGAGCTGGCTTGGTGTTTGCAAATTCTTTCAGTTTTTGTTTGTCCTGGAAGCTTTTAATCTCTCCTTCTATTTTCAATGATAGCCTAGCTGGATATAGTATTCTTGGCTGCATGTTTTTCTCATTTAGTACTCTGAATATATCATGCCAGCTCTTTCTGGCCTGCCAGGTCTCTGTGGATAAGTCTGCTGCCAATCTAATATTTTTGCCATTGTATGTTACAGACTTCTTCTCCCGGGCTGCTTTCAGGATTTTCTCTTTGTCACTAAGACTTGTAAATTTGACTATTAGGTGACGGGGTGTGGACCTATTCTTATTGATTTTGAGTGGGGTTCTCTGAACCTCCTGGATTTTGATGCTTGTTCCCTTTGCCATATTGGGGAAATTCTCTCCAATAATTCTCTCCAATATACCTTCTGCTCCCCTCTCTGTTTCCTCTTCTTCTGGAATCCCAATTATTCTAATGTTGTTTCGTCTTATGGTGTCACTTATCTCTCGAATTCTCCCCTCGTGGTCCAGTAGCTGTTTGTCCCTCTTTTGCTCAGCTTCTTTATTCTCTGTCATTTGGTCTTCTATATCGCTAATTCTCTCTTCTGCCTCATTTATTCTAGCAGAGAGAGCCTCCATTTTTTATTGCACCTCATTAATAGCTTTTTTGATTTCAACTTGATTAGATTTTAGTTCTTTTATTTCTCCAGAAAGGGCTTTTATATCTCCCAAGAGGGTTTCTCTAATATCTTCCATGCCTTTTTCGAGCCCAGCTAGAACCTTGAGAATCGTCATTCTGAATTCTAGATCTGACATATTACCAATGACATATTACCAATTTATTAGGTCCCTAGCCTTTGGTACTGCCTCTTGTTCTTTTTTTTGTGGTGAATTTTTCCGCCTTGTCATTTTGTCCAGATAAGAGTAGATGAAGGAGTAAGTAAAATACTAAAAGTGTGGCAACAACCCCAGGAAAATATGCTTTAGCCAAATCAGAAGAGATCCCAAATTGTGAGGGGGGGGAAGGGGATAAAAAGAGGTTCAGAAAGAGAAAAAAAAAAGAAAAAAGAAAAAAGAAACAAATAAAAAAAGAAAACCAATAATGAAAAAAATATAAAAAGGAAAAAATATATATATATTAGATAAACTAGTTAAAAAACGTTAAAAAAGAAAAGGGTAAAAGTTAAAAAAATTTAGCAGAAGAGAAAAAAAATTGAAAAAGAAAAAAAAATTAAATTAACTGCAAGGCTAAAGAATCATGGGGAGAAAGCCATGAGTTCCGTGCTTTGCTTTCTCCTCCTCTGGAATTCCGCGGCTCTCCTTGGTATTGAAACTGCACTCCTCGTAAGTGAACTTGGTCCTGGCTGGGTTTCTTGTTGATCTTCTGGGGAAGGGGCCTGTCGTAGTGATTCTCAAGTGTCTTTGCCCCAGGCGGAGTTGCACCGCCCTTACCAGGGGCCGGGCTGAGTAATCCGCTCAGGTTTGCTTTCGGGAGCTTTTGTTCCCTGAGCGCTTTCCGTAGAGTCCGGAGGGCGGGAATGAAGATGGCGGCCTCCCAGTCTCTGGCCCAGAGGAGCCGAGAGCTCGGGGCCCCACTCCTCAGTGCGCCCTCAGAGAACAGCGCCCAATTGCTCCCGTCACCCTGGCCTCCGGCCGCGCTCCGAGCTCACCGAGCCTGCGACCGGTTCAAGGTAACCCCGAGCTGAGAGCTCACTCCTCGGCTCCGTCTCTGTAGCCGGCTTCCCCGTTCTAATACCTGCAAGCTCTGCGACACTCAGACACCCCCGATCCTTCTGTGACCCTGCGGGACCTGAGGCCACACTGGCCCCGCGTGGGCTTCACCCTGGTTAAGCCTCTGGAGCGATGTCCCTCAGCGGAACAGACTTTTAAAAGTCCCGATTTTGTGCTCCGTGGCTCCGCCGCTTGCCGGGAGCCGGCCCCTACCCCCGCCGTCTATCTTCCCGTCCGTCGGATTCACTTCTCCGCCAGTCCTACCTTTCAGAAAGTGGTTGATTTTCTGTTTCTAGAATTGCTGTTCTTCTCTTCGATCTCCTGTTGGATTTGTAGGTGTTTGCAATCTTTAGATAAGCTATCTAGCTGATCTCCCGCCACCTGAAGTAGTCTCAGCTGCTACTTCTCCGCCATCTTGACTCCTCTCTATATTAACTATTCTAAACCAAGAATAGGCCACATCTTTCCATTAATTCAGAACACATCTTTTGCCCTTCGGAAGACTCTGCTTTTCTTCATTTGGGGTATGTACCATTCTTGTGAAATTCCTTCCTAAGAATTTCATATTTCTGCCACCTTTTTTGAATGGACTATTTATTTATTCACATTTTCAATTCTAATTGATTGTTGTTAATAGAGAGAATAGCTTTGATTTTTCACACACTTACCTTGTCCACATGACAAAAATCCTTGTTCAAATTCAAGTTGTTATTTGCTTTATCAAATACGGTTGCTTGGGTTTTCCAGGTACATGGCCTTATCACCTGTGGAAAGAGCTAAGTTTAGTACTTTTTGTCACATCTGTAGGGGACACAAGGGTCCCTCTGCCTTGGCAGTTGGCTCTCAGGCCCAAGACAAGAGGACTTTTCCAAAGGCCCCCAAGCCAGTAAGACATCTCAACTGTCAAGGCTCAGGATGGCTCACTGGGCAAGGCCTGGATTTCCCAGCACATTCTCTGTGTTGGGCACTCTTTGATCACATGGCGAGAAACCAACTACACTTCTTCTGTCTCTTTTGGAAGCACCAGGACTCTGAAGTCTGAAATGCAGCACAGAACATGCAACTTTGTACCTTGCAAAACGTGTTCCCTGGGAGTCAGACTTATATTTCTAAGATGGAGCTCCCCAGGCCAGGACTGTCATGGAGCTGTTAGGCTAGGGTTGATGTGGTCACTGCTGTCGAAATCTAGAAACCGAGATACAGGCCACAGATGTCATTTCCCACTTCCCTCCATTTTGAGCTGTATTTCTGGAACTCACAGAAGTTAATCATCTCAGGAAGTTCTAACAAGGCTACTTTGACCCTCTGTTTCTTCCACCCGACATCACCATGTGTCCACTTGACAACGATGCATCGCAATACATTTTCCAGCACAGTCCCAGTGAGCATCTCAACATGCACGGGCTCCAGTGCTGAGGGCTATCATTTATGCAGGATGCAGCAACCCGCGGGTAACAGGTGTAAATCTTAGACTGTAAGTTCAGTGGGCAAGAAATAGCACTTTCTTCAGTTTCTATTGGTTAACCTCTAACTTCTAAGTCTGAGCATCGTTCTACTCTGTGGTCAGGGAGGTGTAACCATAACTTTCCCCAGTTTCTGCCCCAGTCCCTGGAGTCCTGAATCTAATCCAACAGCCCCTGGTGTTCGTCCACAAGTCACTGCTCAGATATTCACCACGCTTCCTGCGCAGCCTCGCAGACCCAGCGCGCACTCTGACATTTCTGTGCCACAATCATGAGCATGAAGTTTTGTTCGGCTTTCCCTGCTCCGCTGCCCAGGAGTGCTACCGAGGCATTCCTGCTGGGAGCTGCTGCCTCCCTGGGAGTGCTGCTGGGCGTGAGGGGACAGGTGTTGTCTGCATTTAGAGCCCCTACGTACCTCTCTGCCCGGGAGAAACACTGTGCTCTGACATAGGAAGATCTTCTTGTCTCGTGAGGATGTTCTGTTTAGGCTTGACATCCTGTTCTGTCTGCCATCACTGAACATTCCGAAACATAACCTAGAGATTCTGTTTTCTGTTCTGCCACATTCTTCCCCCAAGGCACACAGAAATGCATGCATATCTTACATGGACAAGAATGAAAAACAAAGTATCAAGGAAAGGAATACAGACATATGTTAAAATGCTAAATATTATCCAGATACAGAACTTCAAGATTTCTCAAAAAGAGGAGCTTTTGCCCACAGGCAACAATTTTGTGTTTGTATTGTAAACGTCACCGGCTGTCTGTGAACAGTGGTGTGCTAAACGTGGGGAAACTGTGGGTGGCAAGACACCGGGCGTGAGCCCCAGGGCTGTGCCAAGCAAACCCCAGATGGAAGGGTCTGGCTTAGCAAGGAGAGACGTCTCCCTGCAGAAGGGGATGAGCGGAAAATCACTCACCCTGTGAGCCAGGGAGGAGGAAGATGTGGAAATTGTTTCGGTAATCCTGACTTTCACAAGAAAATAGGAAAAATGGCTCGATGCAGGGTGAAAAGCCAGGGCACAAAAATGTGGAAGACCCGCTCTAGGGATGGTTCAAAAGAATCAGCAAAAGGAAAACCCAGCGTGAGTTCAGAAAAAGAAGATGAAGAGGGTCCAGCCTCTTCATGCCGCATCACTGAGCAGGAGCCACACTGAGCCCAGAAGCCAAGGGAAGACCGAAGGGATGGGAGAGCCGGGGAAGTGGCAGTGGTGTGGAAAGGTTTGCCTGGTCTCGGAGCTCAGGCCCGGCCCAGGAGCAGGGGCACAGCAGCCAGGACTGAGCCCCAGCTGAGCACAAACCGCAAACAGTCACCAGAGCGTCTGTCCCAGGTTACACCTGTCCTGGCTTATGGAGAGCCCCCTCTCAATTACACCCTAAACGTCTGAGGATGGTCTGGCAAAGAACATCAAGTCAAAGTTCTGGGAGGAAAAGCTACAGCTCACAGCAAAGGGGATCGACCTGATGCCACAGACTTGAGAGCAAAAGTAAACTTGAGTGACAGCCCCGTAAACTCATCAGTGCCTCTGGAGGGTCACAGACGCACCCATGTGCATCTACCTAGGTCCTATTAGGAAGCAGAAACCAAAGAATACGCTAAGCAGAGGAGGTGGAGTGGGATTCGTGAACTATGATAATAATGAAGATAAAACAAAATTCTATAAAACTCCAGGGCCGGGGGAGAACATGCAAGGAGGAATGTGCCTGGAAAGGTAACCCTCCCCAGGCTGGGGTGCACACCTCATCAGAGAAGGTGTAGCAGAGACGTTCGCGGGCTCGTCCAGGCCAGCGCTGGCCTGCAGTCACTGGACGAGCTGGAAGCAATTCTGCAGACCTCAGCCCGGGGACTGCACTCAGGGGAAACCTCCAGGCGCCAGGTGGACCAAGCGCAGGCGACGTGAGGGTCCGGCCGAGGGAAGGGGCACCAGCAGGAGCAGGAGCCAGTGTCCCTATCAACAGGGCACGGGAAGGCTATGGCCAGGCTGAAGCTGCAAGGTCACCAGGGTCCGTGAGTTCTGGGCACACGGCTGGGACCACAGTGCACCGGGTGCCTCTGTGCCCTCTCTGCAGTCCCGCCACGCCCAGCCACGGTCACGCGGTAGCTGGAAACTGCAGCAGAGCCCCTTCCTCCCACAGTGCCTCTCTAGGGCCCTCAACCAAAAAAGCTTAGAGCTATGCTAACTTTAAAGAAGTGATCAGAGGAATTCCACCCACTGTCACCCGTCACCAAGCACAGAAGGACGAATCTGGAACGCAGGGACAAGCAGCCTAGCCCTAAATAACGAAGAGATACGGACGAAGAGAGTGTCCACAGTCTAAAATGAATTCTCAGGGCTTCCTGAGATGTTCTGGGCTGAGGGTTTGAGGACAAGACAGATTTTCCCAGAGACAGGACTTTATTTCCAAAATAAATCAATCGCTTTAAAAAGACCCAGAGTTTCTCTAAGTCCATGCTGAAGCATTTCCAAAAGGGTTTCAGAAGGACGTTTACCACTCTCGCCCTAGGAGCACAGCCTGTCGGGTCGGGTTCAGAGCCCGGATGCTGCTGGAGGAAGCTGAACAGCAGGGCTTGGGGGGTGAGGGGGGAGACACCAAAGACAGTAAGAGGCCCATGGTTTGAAGGCATTGCAGACAACCACGCACGGGCACACATGTGCTCCCTACCCTCTGTGAGATCATCGTCTCAGCCCGTGCAGGCTGCGGTGACAAAACGCCGTCCAAGGAGTGGCTGAAGAATAATGGAAATGGAAACGCATCACTCCCAGCTCATGGGTCTGGAGGCCGTCCAAGACCGAGGCAGCAGCGGGTTCATGCCGGACTGAGGATCTGCTTCCTGGTTCCACTTGACGCAGGAGGACACGGACTCTGAGGCCAGAACTCTGGTGTCCGGACCCAGTGCACTGGTTTCCTCACTACCTGTGCAAGTCCTGGGTCAGATGCCCCTTCCAGAAAGCCTTCCCTGAATAACCCAGGCCATTATTTTCACTTACCATTCTGAGGAATCCGTAGCACCGCATGGCCCAAAGCACAGCGGCTGAAACTCCAGACAGGTCCCATGGGGCCCCACTCCCGTTTCTCATTTAGGAGGTCTGAGACGGGGTCCAGACTATGTGCCAGTTCCCAGTGGTGCTGAGACTGCTGGTCAGGACGTCACAGTTGGGAACCACCGGTTCAGGAACTGCCAAGATCGTCACCCACACCCAAGGCTCGACCAGTGAGGCCAAATCTTAATTTTCTCAAGCAAAGACTCTCTGAGGGTTTAGTACCATGTTTTCTGGATGTTCAAGGAACATTAACTAGGAACAGGGCAGATGGCCGGTGCTGGTCTGCACAGCCCACACCTGCCCAAGTGGCTTCACCCCTTCCCGAGCATTGTCCCACTTAAGAGCTGTAAGTGGGGGAGCCTGTTTGCAGAGACACTTTATGACTGTCCTCCTCCGATGTGAAAAAAGCAACTGGTCACTTGAAACACCCCTACCCAGAGTGACTTTTTTCCTATCCAATAGACATACATTATGATTTCTCCTTATAAATCAGTCACGCCAAATAAAATCTGAAGAAACATCTGTTCCTTACAACTTAACTTTCTTTTAAAGAAGAAAATGTCCCCCTTTATAAATCCAAATTCACAAAAGAAACCCTGCCCTAAAACTACCGATTTGTCATTTAGGCCACACTTTTATCCAAGAAGCCCCCACATTGCCATCAAGAAACAGAGATGTATCTGGGGTGTCCCAAACACTTTGTAAAAGCTTCAGTGCACATTCCTATATCAGGCAGGCTCACACGAAAATCCAGGCGCCTGCTTCTCTTGAAAAATGTAGGCCGCAGCCAAGCCAGGGTCCTATTTTTAGAAACTCATTCATTTTGTTGGTAGTTCTTCCTCTACTGTTGACAACAGCTGGACCTGCTTCCCCAGGAGCAAGCACTTCCCAGCTCACTGCAGATCATACCATCCACACGGTGCCCACACACGACATTACACCCCAGCCTGTATCTGCCTGTCCCTGGACATTTGCACGTCTATTTTTATAGAACCATAGGAGTTTATAAACTTGCAGTATACAGAAAAAGAACTTCAGTCGTCTTACATAAAATGTTTAAAGGATGTGATGAGAGCTGCCCTGTGTTCTCTGCTTCGTCAAGGCACCTCTCCTTTCAACCTCAGCTGCTGAGCTGACATCCTGGGCAGTTGGGGTCCTGAGTCCCAGACAGACAGGTGCAGCGACCACAGTCACAGGATGCCTTGATAGGAGCTGAGAGGATGTAGGAAGGGAAAGAATGTTAAGGGAAAAGGGAGAGGGGCTGGAGGGATGAGGAAAGGGGGAGAGGCTGAAGGTAGGAGTGGCTGGGAAGGGGAGACCTACCCGCGCTTCCTGCACCAGAGGACTAAGCATCCAACGCATCCACTCATCAGGAGGGACCCCAGTATGGCCACTGGGATCAGCCATGTGGAGGAGTGGCTCCCCTCTGCGTGCAGAACACAGGCTGTCAGCCCAGGACCCTCCCTAGTCCCAGCCACAGTCTAAGCCTATGGGAGGGTGCCACGGGTGCCTCTCACTGCCTCCCACACGTGGAGCATCCCCTCCCATTCCTCGGCGGTCTCGAGGCCCCCTCTTGTCTCAGGGCTTGGGAGCCGGGGCCCCTTCACTTCTGCACACAGCGGTATAGCACACACAGGAAGGACAACCAGGTAGCCACGGGAACCTGAGCCTGGATCCAGCTCCTCCCCTCTCCACCACCCATGAGACCAAGAGCCCTGAGCCTGACCTCCCTCCGTCTCTGTGTCTTCGACTATAAAATGAGGAGGATGGCACCTGTTCCAGAGGAGCCGGGGACAAGTAGACTCCATGCTGGGCAATCAAGAAGCACTTAAGACTCGGCAACTACCTTGCTCCCCCGGGCCCCAGCCTCGGCCTTTCCACAATCCATGGTGCCCTCCTGTGGGCCGTGACCTCTCTGGGGACTATTTATTTACCAGCAGCTTCCAGACCTGTGAACTCTTGGGTCTGCTTTTTCTTATATATGGGTCGTTTATCTCAACCCTTTCTGAGTTCAGACTTCATCCCCCTCCTTCCAGTATCTGAAACTCCCTCTTCTAACCCTCCTGGTTTGCAGAGGGGGGGGAGGGGTCATTTTGGAAACTTTTCTATCCTTTGTGTGTCCAAACCCACCCCATGGCCAGTGCCTCCCTCTATGCTTGTGGACCACGTCCGCCATGGCCAGACAGGCCCAGCTCTTTCTCACCCCAGTGGAGGACGATGTCCTGGCCTCCCAGACTGCTGTGTCTCACTCGGCAGGACAGACTGGCCGCTTCCCGGGCCTCCACATCCAGGGTCACTCGGAGATACCACGTCCCATCAGCATGGGGCATGACGTCGTCTCGCTGGGTGCCCTGTTGCTCCTGCTCACCCCGCATCCACATCACCCACACGGGCTTCGGGTGGAAGCCAGAGACGTGACACACCAGCAGCAGACGGCCAGGACCGGGATGGGGGCCAGTGGCCAGCCAGGCCTCGGGCTTCACTGTGTCCGATAAGGAAGTGGGGGGTGTCGAGGCAAGAACTCT